GATAGGAGAATAGTTGCTATTGATGCAAAATAATTCCTATCACCTGCCTAGTAGGCAGCGCCTTCCTTTGGCTTTCAGCAAAACTGCAACATTGTGAGCAATCAACACTGAGGTTTTTATAAACAGGCACCTCTGGCCCCTTTGTTTGACTTCCCCCACGCTTGGCTAGGTCCAGATGTTCTGGGTCAACATGGGTGCTGAGTGTATTTAGCAGGTACAGCACTCTGCGTCCAGGCTTTGCTGCTGTGTGGCTGGCTCTGGAAGGCTATGGACGCCCCAATCATGGCTGCCCAGAGCTCAGCAGGTTGTCAACTGGGTCCTAAAAATACGAGAGCGAATCCATTTCCCAGTGTTTAGATCGGCCCCTGTGAGAGAGAAACCACTTCCCTTGTCAGAATGTCACGCACTGAAGGCTGAACTGCCTGTCAATAGGCAGAGCAGAGCATGCGCGTGGCAGGCCGCCTCCATGCTGGCGGAGCAGCAGCTGGTGGCTGGATAGACAGTAGGTATGAGGGACAGGACCCCGATGACACCTGTGTGCATGCTGCACACATGCTGCACCCTCCTCCTTCACCTGAGGAGGGTGAAGGGTGCTGACAGGCCTGGGAGAAAAGCACTATTTACACTACAGATATTCCGAGCTTAAGCTGATGAGGAGTGGGAGCAGCTTTTTGTCTGGAATTAGCATTTAGGAAGTGGAGGGAAGAGGGCCAGGAGGTACTTAACGACCTCCATAAGCCACTCACAGTCCATGTGGATAAAAGCCATGGTTTAAACGGAAAATGAAAATGACGGTGCTACTTAATGTGGCTTTTATTATATATATATATATTCTTTTAATTTCATTTGACACAAACTTTCCGTATTTGGGGAAAGGCATGCTATCTCGTACATACAATGCGTAATGACCATGTCAGCCTAATCATCAGGTCTGTCACTCAACATTTATCACCTCCCTGGGCTGGGAGCGCCCACATTCCTTCCTGCTGCCTGTACCCTTCTCGACCGGCAGTAAGCAAGCTGCTCTGTAGCCGCCACTAAAACACTTCTATGTTGGGAGAAACTATACTGCATTTATCAAAATAAGGCAATTACCACTTTGTATTTGTCAGCTATTACCTTTCAAGTATCGTGCTATTAAAAAAAAAAAAAAAGTACCACAACGTGAGCTGAAATCATAAAAAATATTCTGACAAATCCTCAGAGCTCAGCATTCCACTCTTTAATAAAAACTGAGAACAAATATAGAGCTTAAGACACGCACCGCGCCTGGTGCAGCACCCTGCCTATCATGGCACACCCCCACAGCACTTCTGTCTCTGGTTTTGTTCATGCCAACACTCAGGAGGCAGAGGCAGGTGGATCTCTGGGAGCTCAAGGTTAGCTGGTCTGCAATGTTAAGTCCCAGACCAGCCAGGGCTACCTAGTGATTGTTTCTGAGAGACAAGGTAGCACCGTGTAAGCCCAGGCTGGCCTCGAACTCACAGCCCTCCCGCCTGCTTACGGAGTGCGGGGATTACAGGTGTGTGCCGCTGAGTTGAGCTGGGTCTCTCTCTCCCAAAACAATAATAGGCTCCTGCGATAAGCTTGACCAACGGGACTCGTGAAATCTTTCCGTATTTGTCCACTTAGCACAGCGGTCCTCTACCTGTGTGGGTCACAACCCCTTTGGGGGTAGGGGGAGCTGTCGAATAACCCTTTCGCAGAGGTCGCCTAAGACCACCAGAAAGCATGGGTGTTTGCATTACGATTCACAACAGAAGCAAAGATCACGGTTATGAAATAGCAATGAAAATAGTTTTACAGTTGTGGGGACGGGTCCCCGACGGCATGAGGCACTGTATCAAAGGGTCGCAGCGTCAGGAGGGGTAGGGAGCGCTGGGTTAGCGAATATCTTTTTGTCGCTTTCTGTGCTGAGCTGCTACACATGTCCTTTGGGGACAGGGCAGTAAGACAGGTCCTCTTTCCTTCTTTCTATTGGAGTTCGGGCGGGGGGAAAGAAATGAAAACTAGACGGAAAAAAAAATTACAGACGTGTGGGATGAAAGTGAAGACCATCACCCCCTCGGGTCCTTCAAAGTTCTACAGAGTTCTACAGGTCTACAGAGTGTGGTAGGTACGCTTGTGGAGGCTTGAGGTTGACCTCAGAGCCTTCTCATTTTAGGATTGAGACAGGGTGGGTCTCACTATGTAGGCCTGGCAGGCCTGAAACTTGCTATACAGAGCAATCTGGCCTTGAACTCACGAATAGCCACCTGCCTCTGCTTTGTGACTGGGACACCCTACCCAGCCTCTTTTTTTTTTTTTTTTTTTTTAAAGACAGTTTCTAATTGGCCTGGAGTTGGACAATTAGGTCAGATTGACTGGCCAATGAGCCTCAGCAGTCCACCTGCCTCTACCTCTCCAGCACTGAGATTACAAGTGTGCAGCACGCTGCCTGGCTTATTTACCTGGGTTCTAGGATTTGAACTTGGGTCCTCAAGCTTGCAAGGCAAACACTTTGCTAGCTGAGCCATCTTCCTGGCCCAGTCCTTGTTTGTTTGCTTTTGTTTTTTTGTTTTTTTAATAAGATGTGTTTGAGTTGGTTTTATCCGTGTGAGTGGAGGCATGTATGTTTGAACACTTCCTGTGTGCAGTGTCCTCGGAGACCAGAAGAGGGTGTCAGATGCTCTGGAACTGTAGTTACAGATGGTGGTGAGCCATCATGTGGGTGCTGGGAACCAAACCCAGGTCTTCTTCAAGAGCAACACGTGTACTTAACCACTGAGCCACCTCTCCAGCCTTCTCATCCTTGTTTTTAACAACGGAAGACTGCTACCTGAAACCTCTGTTGTGCTTCTATGTACTTAAAACTGTGTTCTCCTCCGCCCCCCATCCATTCACCCTTTCTCCCAACTCTTGAGCTGATCCTGTTCCGATTTGGAGATGTCACTAAAAAATTGTGCAGACGTCTCCCAGTCGTTTGAATGGGCAGTAGAATTGCCCTCCTCTCCCAGTTTTCTTCTGGTGAACTCACACCCACTGAAATTCGCTGTCTGGGAAAATCTCACTGTTGCCCCAGCCCTAACGCCTGAAAGCCCCCAGTCAAATCACGCACCATTCAACTGTTCTATAGCGGCATCTAAAATAGGTAACCGGCTCCCACCCCACACCTCGTTGTTGGCTAACTGACTCGTCCCATAAATAGCTCAGTGTCACTCGATCAGACAGCCACTGCTCACAGAGAGGGATCTTTGTTTCCTGGCACACATGTGTCAACTCTGGTAGTCAACAAAACCCAGGTCCAGTGCACCGGACCATGGCTGTCACATAGTCCTTAGGAGAAATCAGCTGCTAAGTCGTTTTCAGATGGGAGTCAAGATGCACAGTCCCACTTTACAGAAAGCAGCGTCAGAGCAGGGTTTGGCTTTCTCCTGTCTGGGGAATCCCGGAAGTGCTCTGCCACATACATTAAGTTCTCAGGTCTGTCTGAAAAGGTTCCTGGTAGTTTCAGAAAGCCGTTTTCTGAAGCATGCTTTCTTTGGTGCTATTTGTCTTGGTTTTGGTGTTGTTTCTTTAAGATAAGGGTCTCAGGAAGTCCAGGCTGGCTTTGAACTCTTGATCCTCCTGCCTTCACCTCCTGAGCTCTAAAATTATAGACATGTTCTACCACAAGAGCCTGCCTAAAAAACAAAAACAAAAAGACTTCTCACTACTGCTGAGACTAGTGGCTCAAGCCTGTAATCTTAAGTTAAATTTGAGGATGACAAGTTCAGTGGGGCACGGTGGTGCACGCCTTAAATCCCAGCACTCTGGAGGCAGAGGCAGGTAGCTGATCTTTGAGTTCGAGGCCAGCCTGGTCTACAGAGCAAGTTCCGGGACAGCCAAGACTACACAAAGAAACCCTGTTTCAAAATAAATAAATAAATAAATAAATAAAAAGAAAGTGGCAAGTTTAAGGCCAGCCTTGGCTACAGAGTGAGTTACCTCAGCCTAGACAACCGAGTGAGACTCTTGTCCCCAAATAAAAAGTTAAGAAGAGGCCTGGAATATGCCCTCAGCCATGGTCGAGGTCATAGGTCCAATCTCCATTACCAAAGAAAAGCAACAACAAGCCCCACCGAAAGCCTGTGCACTCCTCACCCATAGAGCACAACAGTCCGTTCTTCTCGTTGACATGTATTGTTTTTGTGTTGGACTGTGCATGCTGCAATTTAACAGATCCCACGGCAGTAACTCCAAAGGCGAATGAACGCTGGGGAGCATGGCCAGATAAGCCAAGCTCTGCCCTGTGGCGGAGCGTGGCTGCTAAGCTGACCAAGATAACGCGTGGGCCTCGGCCTGGCGTCTGTCTTTTCACCTCTTTCAGCTCCTTTTCAAATGGCAGCGTGCTCTTCCGTTTCACAAAGCCCGGACACCAAACCCGAGGCTACTTTTCCTGGTCGCTCTGCCAGCCATGCATGAGGGCTGCTTAGCCCCCATGGCAGTTTCAAATAAAAGGAAAGACTGGCTGTAGGATGGCAAAGCTGGTGTCAGAGCCTTCCCCAAAGCTGGCTCTGCGGTTTTGCCTTTTGTGCCGCATCAGTCGGCGCTCCATGGACCCGCCGGGCCCTTCCCACAGCCGAGCTGAGTGTCTGCATTTTGAAAATGTTATAAAGCTCAGTCAGTTTGACAGTGTTGATCCTGGGCAGGTGGGATGGTTCAGGGGGTAAAGGCAGTTACTGAGCAACCTGGCAACCCTCATCTGATCCCAGGAACCTACACAAAGGGTTCAAGGAGAGAACCAGCTCCACAGAGTTGCCCTCTGACCTCTACACTTTCACCCTGGCGCGTGTGCACCCACACGCACACAACACACAATAATAATGGAAAAAAAATTTAAAGACTTGACCCTTAGTATACCAAAAGGAGAAAGACCATTCACTTTTAAACCCTTTGCCTCTTTAAGCCCGTGGCTTTGAAGGGGCTGGGGTGGGGACTAGAAGCAAACAAACAAATAAATCCAGGTCTTTGTTTAACAGGTTGTGAGCCATGGCAATGTGGATACAGGCTCAGCAGCTCCAGGGCGATGCCCTTCATCAGATGCAGGCCCTGTACGGCCAGCATTTCCCCATCGAGGTGCGACATTATTTATCCCAGTGGATCGAAAGCCAAGCCTGGTAGGTGAACAGTTTCTACATCGCGTTTGGGGGAGCACAAGGATATCGAGCTTCGACTAGAAAAATGTTATGACTGAGACTTTGAAAGTTGTGTGTATCCTGGGCCCATGGGTCCCCGCCAGGAACCCCCGTGATTCTAGCATTCTGAAAGTGCGGCGCGAGCCTGCGGCCAACCTGAACTGCAGAGACCCCCGTCCCTATCTTTAAATAAATAACTAGATAAATAAAAAAAAACTACGTGTGTTGGGCTGGGTGTGCGGCTCAGTGGTAGAGCACAGGCATGAGGCCCTGGGTTCAGCCCCTAGGACCTGTCTCCAAGGAAAGCTTTCTGCAAAACTTTAGGCAATCCACGGAAAAGGCGTTTAGCCTTCTCTCAGAGTCAGAGAGACGGAGTAACTCATGGAGTTTTAATTTTTGTTAATTTTTAATGATGTGTGTATCTGTATGTCTGTATATAGATATGTACACATGAGGGCAGGTGCCTGCACAGGGCAAGAAAACAGCATCCGAGTCCTTGGAACTGGAGCTACAGGTGGTTGTGAGCCATCCAGTGTGGGTGTGAGTTCACCAGAAGAAAACTGGGAGAGGAGAGCAATTCTACTGCCCATTCAAACGACTGGGAGACGTCTGCACAATTTTTTAGTGACATCTCCAAATCGGAACAGGATCAGCTCAAGATTTGGGAGGAAGGGTGAATGGATGGGGGACGGAGGAAAACACAGTTTTAAGTACATAGAAGCACAACAGAGGTGTAGGGATTTGAACTCAGGTCGTCTGGAAGACTAGGACACCTTAAACACACAGCCCCTGAACTTGCCTTGTTTGTTTGTTTGTTTGTTTGTTTTTTGAAACAAGGTCTTTCTATATAGCTCTGCCTGTCCTGAATCTCGAAAGTGCTGGGATTAAAGGCATAAACCATGCCTGGCTTTTTTTTTTTTTTTTTTTTTTTTTTAAGGTAAGATTTCACTGTCTGGGCAGCCTGCATTCATTATATAGACCAGACTAGTCTTAGATCTGAGGTCAGCCCTTGCCTCCTATGTGCTGAAATTCATAGCTTATGAGCCAGGCATTTAATATATTAACTTAACAATCAAAACAGTCATGGCTCTTTTGTTTTTTGTTTTTCTGAGACAGGGTTTCTCTGTGTAGCCTTGGCTGTCCTGGAACTCACTCTGTAGACCAGGCTGGTTGTGAACTCACAGAGATCCACCTGCCTCTGCCTCCCGAGTGCTGAGATTAAAAGATGTGTGTCACTCACTATACCTGGCTTGAGACATTTGTATTTTTTAATTTATATTTACATATACTCTAAAATACTAACAGTGGGGCAAGAAGGCTCAGTGAGTAAAGGAATAGCCACCAAGCCTGATACCCTGAATTTCATTCTCAGAATCCACATGGTAGAAGAAAACTGACTCCTGAGATTTGCTCTCTGACCTCCATACTGCACTGTGGCATGAATGTTGTCTCTCCCCCCCCCGCCACACACACTTTTTTTTTTTTTTAATACTAACAATGATTACATTTCAGTGCTGACTTAGCCAGCATTTTCATCTTTATTTCCACAATGATGAGTTACATACTTGAGTTTCAGAATCGTTAGGTTGGTGCAACACAGCCCAGTGAGGACGCACCTTACTCTGCTGTGCTGGGGCAATGCTTCCGCCCCAAGAGACAACCTGTCTACCGAGC